ATGACACAGGGCAAGTGTTGAAATTTCAAAAAAAAAAGACTTGGATAAAACTTTTCTATTTGTCACACCAGTGATAAATTAAAACTTGTTTATCACTACTCTTCTAATTTCAGTTCAGGGCTTGCTTCAGTTGTTACATTGCTTTAGCAAAACTTGTACAAAATTGCAATGGCAATGTAATCTAACCCCTTTGCGGACAGATTCTCATACATTAGGCGTTGTTTGCGGCGCCAAGGACGACACTGAGTAAATAACGGCGAGATAACAACACAGACACACATATTGTCCTTGGAACTGATAATGGAAAACGATTTATACTTATTGGAATGATATAATCCAACTTTTCATGCGAATCCGTTCAGAGTTAGGTCTTGCAAGATCTAGCGAAAATAGAAGAATTACTGAAAAATGAGTTAAAACGATAAAATGGGTTTCAAGTTGCACATAGACAGTAATGGCGACAAAGATGTTGACATTTCCGACTGGATTTACTTGTTAAATCCAAGATTTCTAAACTGAGTTGTAAACAAGACTAGAACGCGGTAATTACTAAATACAGATTTGATATTACAGTATCAAAATTGAGCAAAAAAAAATATATTCGATTTTGGTTGTAAATCCCTCGCTCGAATTATTTCATCAGATTTTGACTTGCTCTCTGGCGCCAAAGCGCGGATTGATTCAATTTGTTACTAATAGCAACACACTGAATATGACGTCATAATACGATTTGTTGTTGTCATTAACCACCAACAAATGTGCGAAAAAAATGATATATTTTTTGTCTCTAGTTGGCGATGGCGGGCCGTATAAATAAAATTTATATATCGAAGCGCTTTTTGGCCTTAGGCGTCTCATCGAAAAAACGTGATTAAAGATTATGCGTCTTGTTGTAAAGTTAGAACGTTCTGTTAAAAATATTCCTGACGCGTTTAGTGGTAAGTTTATTCACATTATATTGATCAGAATGACAGAGGCTCGAACCCAGTTGCAGGTGATTGAAACTAGGCGAGCATAATTTGGAATTATTTGCTGAATTTTCTCTACAACAAATCGACCAACTGATTTCGAATTTTCAGTAATTAAAGAAGTCATTGAAATGCTGTCACTTATTTTCAAAGTTTTATCTGAGTCGTATACTACCCGATATTCCGCCCAAAAAGGTTGCAAAAACTAAAGGGAAGTTTTGGATCCTATTTACAAAGTCCCCGCGAAAAAACACCCCCGCCAACTCCAAAAATTAGTAATTATCCAGTTAGGGTTAGGACTGCAAATTGCGCTGGAAATTCAAATCATTCCTGGTTGTTTTAGACGTTTATTCGTTTGTGGCTCATTTTCGTTGCACGAAACATTCTGTGACCCACCCTTTTTTCTCATTCTAAAATTATATGTGAAAATTCTTACCAATCCCCCCGTTTTTTTGAATGACTAATATTCTCTTCAGTTGCCTTTCTTCATTATTTCAATTTTGAACTCATTCCAAATGATGGTGTAGTAGACTTCTTCTAGTTCTTGTGATGAAAGCCACATGTTGCCAATTGCGATGAAATCCTTTGCTGTATTGTATAATAAGCTGTGCCTTGAATTTGTGTATGATTTCTTGCATGACGAAATAAACGTAGATAAAAAAAATTAATCGCTGCAATTGTACAGAAGGACAGCTCATTGTTGTGGTGAACTAATTTTAAAACTTAAGTGTATTAATTGAATTTTCACGACTTATATTTTCCTCTCTCTCTCAAATGCTACCGTATATGAAGATTTATATCATTCCCTGCTTTGTTGGTAATTGTTTGAATGACTATGTTTCTCTTTGTGTTTATTGCTTCCTTTTATTTCAATTTTTAATATTGACTCATTTTAAATCTAGGTGTCGCTGACTTATGATGATTATTTCTGGTCCTTTGCGACTTCCTATCAATTGCAATGAAATTTGTTATTGTAATACATAATTTTTTTTATCTGTTGTGAATTTGTGTTGTGATTTCTTGCACGGCGAAATAAACGTATTGTCTATTATTAACGTTTTCAGGCGAGGGGAAAAGCAAATTCTTTCACTTTAATAATTACAATGAAAATTACTATTTAGTAGCAAAAAAAACATTTATTTCCAATACAATCAAATTTAACTAATTCATCAATAACAATTTTTAATAACCCACCTAAAAATGTTTCTGTGGGGATAGCCCATTGGTTGAGAACCGGTGTTTTTGTAGAAGAAAATTTGAATTTGTATAATTGTGTATAATATTACTAATATTCGTGACTTATTTGACATAACTGTTATTTATATTCATGCACACATGATGAGCAATTGGAACTGCACGAAATACAGAAATTGGCGAATGATCAATCAATCAATGACTGAACAGTAAACGGAAACAACCTTTTCATGCATAGTGACGTAATAAAATAACTATGAAAGCAGTTTATGCCTGTCTCGACCACTGGAATACAATTCAATGAAAATTTTGGTTCAGTGTTTGCTAAATAGGACTACATGTAAAACGAGACATGCAAAACAACAAAATTTGTTGATGATTCCTCACTCTGACTGTGTATACGCATGGCCGTGCTACCACGTTACCCCACCATCAATGTTGAAAAAGTGCCGATAAAGACATTGATGTTAATGTTTTGTTGAAGTACAAAACCTGATCTTTTATAAAATTGTCCCAATTGCCACACGAGTCCACTTGTCCATTGGGAAATAAATGGTATGCTGTTCCATCCCATCCGATGGACAAGCCCGACAAACTTCATTTCCATCATTAGAAAGTCAATTAGATATTGAACTTTGGGTATCGCTGCTCGATAACCATTCTTGGTTCCTTGTGGCTTCCCTTCCCCAGTAAAATGTGTGTTTAATTTTATTTTTTGTCAATTTCGTATATTATTTACTGAATGGAAAAAATAAAATTGACTATGACATCCTTGGTATCGTTGCCGACGTGGTGGGATCTTTCAACTGTGACGCTAACATAATTAGGTCCAACGCTCTAGCGCTAGCCACTAAGTGGTTCCCAACCTTTTCTTTATATTAATTATTCCTTTGCTCATTTTGCGATATCTGCATCCCCCCTTGCCCTAGTGTTACACTCAACTCGCACACGGTTATCGACATTATAAAGTCCAACGTTTTTCTTTCGCCAAAATAGATTGATTGCTTAAATCATGACAAGGAAAATTTTTGTGACATATGCACATTCAATCAATGAGATGCATGAGCTTGTCCTGCCTATAAACGATCATACTGTGGCTGTCGTACTTCTTTTTCAGCGTTAAATTTACCAGATTTGATTATTGGACACGGAGTGAACCTACGGATCGTTTGGTATTTCAGTTCACATTAAAACTGAATTATGAAGAATGGATCAGCGCCACAGGACCTGGAGAGCTATGACAGTTCCTTCACCGTCACTGCACCTTGATGATGATAAAATATTTTGTTTTGCCCTCTGTGTCCCCATATTTGAGAATAGTTCTCTTATTTTTTTTGGACACGTTTGGTGGACATAACGATCGTTTTGTTGTTATGTTGTTCTTAGACACGTTTTGAAGGAATCGCTTTTCTCTTTGATTGCTGGACCAATTGCTTTGAAATTTTCAGTGGTTAAAGATAAAAATATTCTTCAGAAGGCTATTACTTTTTTTGCTATGACGTCATCAAAATTATTGCCATTAGGTGGCGCTACGTGTCCATATATTTGAGCATAGCTCTTTTGTTCAAGTTCTAATCGTAGGCAGATGAGAACCAATGTTTTAGTAAATGAATTTTTATTCGCGATGCACTCGAAATCGTCTTGCAAACCTGTTCTGTACACATGAACGATCAAAACGAGGATGTTTAATATAGTACCATTCCAATGTTAATTCAATTAGATTAAATCATTTTATGTTAAGTTCTAAATCTAAAGTAAACAAAAGCTAATGAAAAGTATTTTTTTAGGAAATAATATTTGATATTTTGACTCGAAATATTTTGATTCGTCCGGTTGGGAACCACTGATCGGTAAACGAGAATATCGGTCGGAGACCGAAGACTTATCGATCGAAACTGCGGTTTCGATTCATGACTCTATAGTGACACCGCGTGTCCCATCACTAATTAATTAATAACTCGCTGATTATACGACATAATTCATCCAAAATCAATAGACTTCTGGTCCAAGATATGATGATTGCACATGCAAAATTGCATTGGAGCAGATTCAACCACGCCTTCGTGAGATATCGCGTGTATCTAACAGACAGACAGACAAACAGACGAATACCTATCAACATACTTACCGATCTAAAGATCGATAAGCAAAAAAGTAAAAAAAAATTTCAGCGATAATTTGCAATTTATTAAAACGATCAATACTTTCAGTCCCGACAAGTGGAGAAAGTAAAATTGAAAATACAAATTTTCATAATTTTCTCGAATCAGATTTTTCAAATTTCACTGTTTTGGATTAAAGCCGCTCTCAATATATAGATATTTTATTTTAATCATCCGACGTGTGGAATGATTACCAACATTGGGGCTATGTTCACAACACAACGTAAGTATCTTCTAATTGGCAATGGCACAACCATTTGTGCATATGTTATTCTTAATCACAACCTGACTACGTCATTCAAAAATTACGTCACTACGATGTCACAGTAACGTAAAAAGGCCCTACAAACTATCACCCAAGACGCGCAGGCGATCACCCGAAATCGAGCATACTATTTCTCTCGTTTCCTCCTCGTAACGATCCCGATACGAGAGGGATCGCTGGCGTTAGTGAGTTCGTTATCGTTGGTGAAAATGCCATTTCGGGCGATCGTAGTTATACTTTGGCAAGCTATTTGACGTGATTGTGAGGTCGTAGTGACGTAATTTTTGGATGACGTAACCAAGTGGGAGTGACAAATAACATGTGCAAAAATGGTTGTGCCACGTCTAATAGAAGTACCTACGTCGTTCAGTAAACATGTACCACACATTGTATGTGACCAAGCCGAGGTGACTAATTTCCTATAAATTTGCAAATAACGTCACTGAAGGCGGCTGAGTTTGGATGGTTTCTCATTCCTTGTTTCGAGTCTTTCTTGTCTTTCCTGATGCGGATCGAGATATTTGGCGATTCAGAGCGATCAGACGGGTACTTGGGATACCAGTTCCAGAATGTGATTCCCTGTGAATGTGGAAAATAAATGTTTATATATCGAAGTGATTAGATAGAAAATTTAGGTCGGAATGTAATAAGTTTTAGTAAATCAGTAATTCTAAGTTTTAATAGTTTAAGTGGTTTTTCAACACCGAAATGATTATCATCATTAATCGAAGTTACGATTCAAAATTCGGATTGTCACAGGAGTTCGGAAATACGACTCCGGCTCCAATACTACCAAGCTTCGAGTCCAGATTTATGATATCTCATAAACCAGGGTTGTGCAATCTGCGACCACAAGAAAAAATTGTGCGGCGCGCAGAGAAGTGCCAACTTTGAATGCTGTGCCCGCGAAACGAGTTTACAGTTTAGTTCAATGAGATACGTGCGAGCAATTTCAATCCATTTGTGTCGCAAAGCCTATACATGAGTGCCACTGTCATATTGGCAAAACGCTAGCAAAATACACGATGTCATAAAATGTGTTTCTCACTGAATTCGTTTAAAGTGGTGTTATAATATCAATTGGAATAGCAGTTTCTATCAGGAATTTATGCGTCTTAAATAACTCATCATTTTTACAGGACCCCTAAGAATGCCGTAAGATCAATAACAAAAAGAAACAACTTTCTGTACCTGCACCTACTAGAGAGTTTATGTTAAATAAAGATGCTTCTCGCGGCTTCACACAGTTATTTGTATCTGGTTCTTCTGTATTAAAGGTAGCACACAAATGTGACACAAACAACTATTTACTTACAGTCTGATCCAGCTGTGTACCGATCCATACATCAACAGATGAGCGGTTTTTCGGCAACATAGATCGAATTTTTTCCATTAGTAAAGTGTAGTGATCTTCGTCCAATATGTCAGCTATCGAGGAGTGTCTTTCTTCACAAAAAGTAGAGGCTTGATTAATATCCATAGGCCGGTTGCCGAGGTGAATCCAATAACAAGAATTCTGGTATTCAACATTGCAAAACCCGTCTGAATATAAACAAGAGGGCGGTGCTTAAATATATGGACACGAAATGATAAAGGTGCTCCCGAATGATGTGCACCAAAATGGCGCACAACCTGAACATAGTGTGTGTACCAGGTTACGGTTCAGGTCGTGCGCAATCTTGATGATAAGGGTATGCAATTTGTCACAGTCAGGGATGCCACTTTTGGACTTACGAATCGGATCGATTCGAATCGCATCTTTTCCGAATCGATTCGAATTAGATTTACGCAATTCTGAAAAAGAGAGCGATTTACCGAAAATAAAACATTGAACGTTTGTTAAATCGTTGTTTTCGACGGCTTTAAATCTGCCGAATGCGTTTATGCGGCACTCCAAATAACACCAAATTACGGGACTAAAAAAAAACATTGAACGTTTGTAATCGTTGTTTTCGGCGGCGTTAAAACTGTCAAATGCGTTTATGCGCACTCCAAATAACACCAAATTACGGGACCGAGAGAAAAAACATTGAAGGTTTGTTAATCGTTGTTTTCGGCGGCGTTAAAACTGCCGAATGCGTTTATGCGGCACTCCAAATTACGGGACCGAAAGAAAAAACATTGAACGTTTGTTAATCGTTGTTTTCGGCGGCGTTAAAACTGCCGAATGCATTTACGCGGCACTCCAAATAACACCAAATTACGGGACGGAAATAAATGAAAATGAATTTTTCGTGATTGACTATTTTCATTATCTGCCGTCATTTGTTTCAAGTTCGGCACAACACACTCTTTTACGCATCACTCGAAATGATGTGTGGCGTAATTTCCACCGAACTGCGAGTTCAGTTTTCCACCGAATGGTCTATGTTTCTATTATGCGCAAATTTAAATGTATCGTATACCTGAAAATTCGTGACACAAAGATACTTTTCGTCGTATGCTACATTTTATGAATGTGGGCCATATGACCAACTTCGGGCATCCAGCCGGGCCACACATAAAATTCGATTTATCCATACGCGAACGGCAAGAGAAGAAAATGCGGGTATTGCTCAGTCTTACAGTAATGAACGCACCGGGCAAATCGACGAATGATTTAACACAGCGACAACGGCAAAAAACATTTGTATTTTTATCCACATGAGCGACTTTTTAAACACGAATGTCGGATTAGGATTTTATGCTTGATGGGGAAAATCTGAGAGTTGACAATGGCCCCGCCCCACTGAATGGCTTGGTACACACCCCTGTCCTAAACAGATTTCTCGAGTTTTCATATTTGGTTGAATTTCTTAATGGTAAATTCATATTTTCTGAAGGCAATAAGTAGAACAAAACTTACCTATTTTGGCTTTAAGGATTTTATTCTCCTGTAGTAACTTGTCTTCAATCTTTTTCATGTCTCGTTTCATTTCTGACCGGACTTTGCGAATTGCTGAAAAAGAGAAGACAGCATTACTCAGGCTTGATCCAAACCATTGCTTTAATTAGATATAAGTTTTACCGCGTTTCAGAAAAATTTGCAAATGTACAGTGATAACGATATTCTTCATAAGTTTAAAAAAAAAACGAATTCGACAAATTCTTATACCTAATTCAAGGTAAGACCAACAATTCGTATGCTGAATCTTTGTACTTAGTATCACATAATGAAGTTGAACATGAAAACGAGACATAACAACACAAAATGTGCTGCTATATAGTTACAATTAAACCTAGACTTACCATAATTTCTTGGGCATAATCCGGGACAAAATCAAAACTATGAATGAAATAAATGGACGAAAGGCCGAAGGCCTGAGCCTGGCTAATTTTTATTCCATATTTATATTTATAAGCTTTAATATTGCATTACTCTACAGAACCGCAAGTTCTAGATTACTTGCAGCATAATATGACTCGAACAAAACCAAACGAAAGTTATTATGCCTTCTCCAACTCCAAGCATACCTAAAATGGCTTCTAATGCAGCGATTGCTGTAGTTTCATTGAAGTCAATAGAATAACGACGCAATAAACGTCACTCATTATTCCCTAACTAAAGAACTTCTCAAGCTATGCGCAATATTTTACTCAACCTAATAAGCTAAAAAATTAAGATATTAAAATATGCCTCGAGTTAAAGCAAAGTTATGCCTTTTGAGACGGAATTATTTCATAACTTTGAATCAGGTTGGAGTTAATTTTGATAATTTCACTAAAGTAAAATTCTGGGACATTTTGCGAACCGGGACAGACGTTTAAACCGGGACTGTTCCGGCCAAACCGGGACGTATTGTGGGTCTAATTCACTGGTTCTCAACCAGTGGGCCATGGCCCACTGCTGGGCCATAGAGACATTTTCAAGTGGGCCACAAGTCTATTAAAAACTACTATGGTTATTGAAAAGTTTGCTTTCATTTGTGTCATTATAGTCAAATTTTTATGGTAGTAGCATTGAATGATGCTGCTGCTTTTCATTCTAATTCTTAAAGTGAGAGAATTTATTTTTGCAAACAGAGTCTTGTTTTTCTTGTAGTTTTTTCCTTGCATGAGAAAGTTAGTGGGCCACCAAATTTTTATGCAACGAAAGCGGGCCACGAAAGAAAAAAGGTTGAGAACAACTGGTCTAATTAAACCTTGCAAAAGGTGTAGGCAGGGGCGTAGTCAGCAATTTTTAAATTTCCAATTGCCGAATAAGTCCGTATCAGCTGGCGGCAAACATGTCTTTTTCAAGAGTCTTGAGGGTCTAAAAAGCGTTTTAAACTACAAACATTGCTATGTATGATACAGAAAAATATACAGAAACGGAGGTTGGGAGTATGACCCTCAATTAGCTGGCTATGCCCCGGAAGGTATGTAAGCAATGCCGAACCGACTTTCCTTCAAAAAGATATGGCCTTTACATATCAATTTCTGTATATACAAAGACTCGTTCAGAAAAAAATGCAAGCAAAACGGCATGTAAGTACTAAATCTAATAACCTCGGGCGCTTTAATAGTATGTAACTATTAAGTAAATTATGAGAGATCTGTATGATGTTGCGATGCTGCATAATAAATACCTCATATGGCTCTAACCGAATAACGTATGGAACGTCGTACAAACAGTGAAGTTCTAGGCCCAGCAAATTTGCCTGACACATAGGCAGGCGTTGACTAAACTATGTGTTACACATGATTTAAATTCGACATGTTAGGATGGCAATTTCAATATAATATAGCAGGTGCTGATAAAATTGCCTTTTGACTATTCTACCGTGTTTATTTGAAATAAGACCTAGCCTGAAAAAATGACCTATCCTCAATTTTTAAAAGGTTTTTGATATAACCCTCCCCTCAAAACAAGCCCTAGTCAATAACGCGAATTTTTCGACCTAGTCGATAGCATGAAATCTCCCCTACACGTTTTAAAATTTAAATGATTAATATTCTATGTTTGTAGTTACTTTAAATATTAACTTTAAATGTTATTTATAAGTAAATGGATATCGGTTTTTATATTTTGTATATTTGAAAATCTCGTAATTCTCTACATTGTAATTTTGCTTTTGATAAATGGAAAAATAAGACCCAGTCTTATTTTCGGGTATCATGCGCGTACCTGCGTTAATCTTTTCGTCCATCACAAGATATGTCTTCTCATAATCGACATTTCCAGGCGGGCCTTTCGGGCCACGATTACCGGGTGGCCCAGCATCCCCTTTTGGTCCCTTTTTCCCAGGAGCTCCGTACACTCTTTGCAGTTGCTCTTGTTGGTTTGAAGGTCGTTCCAAGAAGTCGTTATTCTCTATATTTACGCAGAGCCGTTGAGAGCTGAGCGCTGCTCGCGGAGCAAATGTCATTAGCAACAGCGACGCGACCAAAGCGGTTTGAAATGACATTTTAATTTATGAACAATGAAACTTACTCCGAGATATGTGTTTGCTAAATGCACAGTTGAAGTTAATTTAATTAATAGCCTTGATAAATAATAAACAAATGTATTTCTGTAACGTTTTAGCGGACTGAGGTCTCAAACAAACATAATTTAACTATAGTATACAGCAGTGCTTTCCAACCTTTTTCAGTTCGCGACCCACTTTTGTTGCTATGTTTTTATGTGCGATTCACAATGAGATGTCAATATATGATCAAAGAAACAATGTATTCCCGTGCAATTTACTATTAATTAAGAATTGCATATTGCATATTATCAAATCAAGTCTGATAACGACGCATTATTCTGATTGTTACATTGTTTCATAATTGTTACGTAATGATAATGTCACAATTTCCCGATCTAATCGAAAACTGTATGTAACATTTTGAAATACTTCGCGACCGACTTTGAATAGCTTCGGGACCCACTGGTTGGGAAGCACTGATATACCGTATTTGTGTCAACGTGCAGCAAGAGAATTTTAACTTGTGAAATAATGTGACTCACTTTGAAGTATTTGTTTGCTAATAATTAATATAATATTTAATACTAAAGTCTTTCTTCTCTCTACCGCTAATATAATTCCGCAACGTTTTTGTCAAAGTAAGGCAATATATTACGTTTGCCTGCAAAATATGACTTTGGTAAGACGAGGCGCTACAAAAATAAATTTGTTTAAAAGTGTGCAGTTAGGCCAAGGTTGGGCAAGGGTTTCAGACCAAGGGCCAAAAATTTGGCTGTCCTAGACTAGTGGGCCATGTAAGTGTGACGTAAAAAGTTACATTTTATTAACAGTTTTCACGGTGTTACAAAAGCAAAATTGGAAATAAGCCACGTGCCCAAACTAAATTTAATCGCAATCTCAACAAATTCCTCGAGCTAAAACATCAAAATTTAGTTTTTGTTTGGTTGTGGCAGCATCAGGCGGGCCAGATTGAATTACCTAACGGGCTTTGCTCATATCAGAGTTCGACTATTTAATCACCAATGATACGTGGTACAAATAGTTTACTATACTTCAAAGTATTTCAAGAGTCTTGCTGAAGACTAACTCGAATCTGTTACTGTAAAGTTTCGTCTGACCAAGGTTAGACTTTCTCATACACACAAAATTCATTTATCTCTCTCTCACTCTATATATCTCTTCAGTACAGTTGAGCCAGCACGTATCGCGACTCTTAAATTACTTAGAAATATTGTCTTTATTCTTGCTGCAGTATTATTGCATTATACATAGATACACTAATCTAAGAATAAGTATAGTTGGTCACTTAGAAACCCTATCGAAGGCACAGTAGACTGTTAGTCTTTTTCGCATATATTTCTGCGCATTTGGTAAACTATACCAACAAGCGATTAAACTCAAATGCGATCTTCAATGAAACACAATCGATTATAAATTATGATCGTTCGCCTTCCCACCATCGCCACCCACCAAATATCAAAAGAGTACGAACAGATAATAACACACCCCCTTCTTTTCACTAAACGCATATATATATATATGTCAAATCGCATTTTCGTAAAAAACAAGTATTATTTTAAATACTCGCCCCCACATAAAATATCAATTGTTATGATTAAAAGACCACTCCTTCACAGTGTTGCGATAAAATATTAAAATTAATAAACCCATTTATTTAGGCAACAACCACGCAGCATTTTTGCAGGTTTCAAAAGCTTTCTTTCCCACGTGGGCGGATTGATCGAATGGTATCGCACCTTGTCGTTTTTTAAAAACCAAAAATATATATAGAGGCTATAGACCAGTGGTGTGCAAAAGGCGTCCTGCGGGCCCGAATAGCCCTTTTAAACACTCAAATTTTGGCGCTATGGAGGTAACTAATTTGGTTCGCCTACTTCACATAAAGTTGTGTAAAGTGACTGAAACATATTATGGGGGTACATTTACTTGACTAAAACAGACAGTCCCCGAACTCGTAATACAACAAAAATATGGAAAAAATCATAATAAAATTATGGCCTAACCCAAACCTGGAACACACACTACGGGAGTTTTTTCCCAACAAGCATAAAATACTAGTCCGACGGTTCATGTTGACATGGTTAAAAATAGATGTTTTGCTCTAAAATCTGCGTTAAATCTTTCGCCGTTTCGCCCAGTGCCTTTATTACCGTAATTTAAATTTTTTATTCCGTTTTATCGTTCAATTTTGAAAATTTGAACTCCGTATAAGCGCCATTTGAACATTTATTTGAAAAAAAAAAATAATGGGAATTAAACGCGCGTTTATCAAATGTATGCAGCTTTATGTATTGCTTTCCGTTCCGGAAAACTATATTTTCGAGAGGCCCACAATAAAACTATGTCAGTCCTGCTACTGTAAGTGAATTTTATAAGAGTTAAATTCAATTGATTGACAATCTCTTTCGCAAGTAAAAGTCAAATTTAAATTCAAATCTAGCAATAGTCTTGGCAACTAACTCGTCAATTACTACCCCTTTGACAATTCTAATACTGGCCCTGCTTTTGGCAAACTACATAACAAAACAAGCGAACTCGACGAATGCTTATCATTGTTTACATTTACATCATTCATAAGTTAGTAATAAAAAAGATAAATTCGCTGAATACAATGATTATAAAATTGTAGTAAAAATGACGCGATTTCTCACAGTAGCGTGGTTTAGAGAAATAGTCAGTAACTTTAACTATATTTTGCATGTAATCAAAAACCAAATAAAACATACGACGTAGTAGAAATGACATCTGATTGTGATAACTATTGATTAGGAATATAAATGTATATATGATCCAATACGTCATTTGAATGGCCCCCACCATAGAGAGCTATTGCCTAGTGCAGGGTGGTCCAAACCCAGGCCCGCGGGCTACATGTGGCCCGCCGCTTCATTATCTGTGGCCCGCGTCGCATTCGGAAAGTAATCAATAAATCGCATTTCGTGTTGTTTCGTAATAAAATTAATCAGAAAAATCTATTGATATATTGTTACATCCCTAATGTCACTTAATTGACTAGGGTTATGGATAGCCGAGGCAAATCTGGCGCGGCGCGGCGGTGTGGCTCAACGGGCTAAGCGTTAGAAATACGCTCGCCACCGCACCTCTAATTACTCTGCGTGGGTTCGCAGGTTCGAATCCCATGCAGGGATGGTTATGTGCGAGAGGATTGCTGGACTCCTCGCCGTCGTTGGGTGGTTCACGTAGCCGCTGGTCGGTTACGGCTTCCTCCACCACCAAGTCCATGCTTCCGAAAACAAACAATATAAACCAGTGGTTCCCAACCGCCGGTCCGCGGACCGGTGCCGGTCCGCGAAGCTTTTCTGCCGGTCCGCGAGAAATTTCGTTGTTTTGTTGTTTTTATGCCATCTCAATCGCTTTACCGTAGACAACGTTGGTTGGCTCATTACGCAATTCTCTTCCTCCGAAATATTGCGACGTCTTTCGCGACATGTTGGCGCCGTCTTTCGCGACATCTTGGCGCCGATCATTTACACTTCTCGCTTTTTCGGCTCCGATTCATCGCGAATGCGCTCCATCAAATCTCGCAAAATTAAGAAGCCTAAAAATCGGCACGCGAGCTTTTTCTGTTCTGCGTGCTTTTCCTGATTAATATGACCATCCATATGAAACGTAATGCATATCTCCTTGTTTAAACCTGAAAACAGTCAAGAACAGTATAATATTCCAGTAAGATATGAACATCTTGCGACCCCACAGGTGGTCACGAGACGCGCAAAAAAGCATGGGTCGCAGAGGTCTTTTTCAGACACAGTAGTTTTGAGCCTGTTGCCAAGTTATCGACAATTTTGTCATTGTAATGCAAATTCATTTCGTTTGAGGCGTCGATCAACTGCGGAGGGATTAATATGATGAACCCAATGAAAAAGAAAAGGCTTGATTAAAATGGCGATTCTACTTTAAATTCCAGATTAAAAAAGAATTACTTATCACAATTTTAGATGATAACGAATACCCATCGCCAAGTAATCGAGCAATCAAACTGTTGTTCGTCTTTTCAGCCAGTTAATGCGTTATGAGAAAAAACATTTTCATCACTAGATTCAATAAAAATGAAGCAAAGAAATCGGCTGCATGCGGCTGTAGAGCTAGGTGTTGCAAAAGCTTCTTTGATGCCTCGTTTGCAATCTTATATTGAAAACGAAACAGCAGCAAACTTCTCACAGGAGTTAATTGTGCGTGTTTTTAATGTGAGATATTTTATGCATGCCTTTCTTACGCATAATGGGTGCCCAGCACTGTATTTCATTACGCAAATATATGGCATTATTTTATGCTTCACCCATTTTTATTTTTGGTCGGCACATTATTTGATAGTTTTTTTCCGTGTGAAATGTTTTTAAATGTGCTTTTTTGTCTAGAAGCATATTAAGAGCCCGACATTGCATTATATTGGGAAAATATATGTTATTCTTTTCTGTTCCGGCCATTTCAATTTTTTGCCGGTCCGCGAGTACATTTTATCTAATTTTACCGGTCCGCCGGGGTAGAAAGGTTGGGAACCGCTGATATAAACTAATCACATACCCGACTTGGAATGGTAACCGGACGAGCCATATGATTACGCCGTCTTATCGGCTTTCCTCTCTCCGGGATAAATATGTAAATCCTATCCTATCCTAAATAGCGAAGTTGAATGATGTGCTTTTCAGTCTAAATTATTATCTGGCTTTCTATTTCTGACACTATTGTGGCCCGCGAACAATGAAAAAATAAATTTGTGGCCCGCGGAGCCGACAACCTTGGACCACCCTGGCTAGTGGTCTGCTATATTGACAGCAGATTAGGAATAAGGATGGTAATATGTTCAAAATCGCCATTTGAATGGACTTCTGTGTGGAGGGCCATTTGGCGATTATATAGACAGCAGAATAGCAATAGGGATCAATATAGGATACTGTTTGCCATTTGATGATAGATTGATTTGAAGTCTCATTTCCACCTAAAACGGTAAATCGAGTTAATTCCGCTCCCAATCGGAAAATCTAGAACCATTTTGTGAAACGGCGAAAA